AACAAATGCAGAAGTGTTTTTCTCACTCCGAGGCCGCTATTGTGAAATTTGTCCTTCCAATACGAGCCCACGCTACTTTTAGTCCGCGGCAGAAAAATAATGTCATGTGATTTTGAAAAAGAGCTATTGCCATAGCAACCATAATGAAATTATAGTCACCCTTGACGACGCCCAAATTAATTACCTTACTTTGAATCGAAATGGGGCAAACCAAATCTTCAAGACTTGAATCAAGTTCGCCCAAACCGTATTGAGGAATAGTTAATTCATAAGAGTTAGCCCTGCAAAAGCGTCGGCATCAGCCATATGTCCGTGGATGAATAGGTAAAAGTTAGGAAATCGTCACGGCAGCAGTTTGGAGGGTCTTTACGTTAAATTCTTAATGGTTACGAGCTTTGGGGTCAACATTGCAAGGCTAAAACAAGAAGAAGAAGTTCAGCAGAACTAACGTACGCTAAAATTTTTCACATTTGAATCGATTTTCCTTCCCCCATGGCGCAAAATAGGTCGTCACTCGACAACGTTCCGATTCGGACGCCATTTTGTTTCACGGCCGTTGGGAGACTGAAACAGAAACTTCGAATCCCTCTCCCCTGGGGAAGAATTTAATTGTATTTATGCCCTTTTTCTGGGGGATATGGTGAAATGAACTATGGACTAAAAAGCAGACTTCAAGATGGCGGTTGAAGGAGAGGATTCTTCTTAGACTTTAATTAAGATTAAATCGGGTCGTTTTTAACTTAAGGGTGCCTAAAAGCCATTTACAGTGTTCTTCTAGGCTACAAAATACATTTCAAGGTAGTGTTTTCTTAATATTTCCGTAATTCTTTAATAAAAAAAATCGATGAAGAATGGCAGTGGTCCATTCAAACCTTCGTAGACTTTATATTAGTTCATGAATGAATAAAGTGGTCCGCAAACGCGGCTCGTATTACATGTTACATGAGCTCCTTAGTCTTTGGCGCGCAATTTGTCTTAAATTTCGAGCAGTTAGCTAGTTCAAATAGCAGCGTGGAGAGTTCCAACTTGTGTTTAATTACACAATATCAAATCCCATATCCTCTGCCAAGGCAACAAAGATGTCTTTAAAGATTGACTGTGCTTGGGCAAAAGTGTTTCTTAGAGAAACTAAAAGTTTAAGCAAAACTGAAAGGATTCCCGGTGAAGGAAATGCAAAGTTTGCTGCTAGATTGCTGCAAGATAGATTTAAAATCTTCGATGAACATTTTCAAGAATACCCTGGGCTACACATAAAACGGGAAGACTTTATGCGGCATTACAGAACCATTGATGAAAAATTTTACAACTGGAGAAGCAAAACCGAAAAAGAAGCATACCTAACAGCGTTTTCCTCAAAGAACTGGAATGAGGGCAAAGTAATAAGTAAAGAAGGGAAAAAGATCACTCGTTGACCAGCTGCCAAGCTTGTCTTTTATTCAACTCTCAATTACAATCTACCTTCCCTATAAGTAAGTTTTGCAGAGGGGCTAGGAAAGGACCCCTGACTGAACTTAACACAAATGTCAAGAGATAATGTCAGAGAGAACCTAAGGTCACAAAAAGGAAATTAAAAAGCATTGGGGAAGCAATATATGCCACCTACAATGAAAATGCCAGGAAAACTTTCAAAAATCACTTAGTGACATTCTAGTACTTGTCCCTGAAGCTGGTCTTCAAAAGAAGCCTTCGCCTGCTGAAAAGAAAAAAATGAAGAGAAATGAGCAAAGTCATACAAAAAAAGAACTAGAGACCAAAATGTCACAAAATGACAGTGCTGTTCACCTTAGCCTTCGTCAGTCTTACAGTTCAAGACAAGTCCAAAGAATGGCCCTGTCCTTTGAAACCTTTGAAGAGGCCAAGGAGAGAGCAAATACGACCCCACCAAAGGTCAGGGAATGATCCCACACAGCTTCACCTGCTAACATAGAAGGAAAGTTGGACCAGCTACTAGCAGATGTAGAGTCATGGCCTGATGGTCCTCCAAACTGGTCAGAAAAGGCCAGAATGTACAACATCAAAACCAAGGGAAGTGATTCAACACCTGGCAATGGAGGGCAATTTGTCAAAGCCTTTTTACAGTCAAAAAAAGTAGACATTACCCGATTTAAGCCCCCATCAGAAGTGCATCTCAATTCAGAGGATGGCCTTACAGGTAAAAAAAGTGGTAAATTTGTAACTAAGCCAACAGTGGAGAGTTACATCTCTGCAATATCATTTATAAGTGAAAGAAATTGTGTATTAGGATTGAACAAAATTTTATTTATTAATTAAAGAACAGTGAGATTTAAGAGTTAAAATTTAGAATTTAGAATTTAGAAGTACCAGCAATACTGCTAATTATCATTTTCATCAGTTTAATTAGACTACAAATTAGAAAAACATTAGAAGAAGTAGGCCTGAAGTAATAAGAATGCATACAACAGTCTAAGTCAAGTTAATGATGAATATGTGACCCTATAATTCTTTCATGGGTTTTTATCATTTCTCTAGCCTCATGTAACAAAAGGTTTGATTAATTTTCCAGGACTCAGGGTACGCAGAGCTATGAGGAAGTAAAAGGGGGGAGAAATTTCTGTGCCTGTGATGCAATCAAATAAACAACTCAAGCAAAGCATCCATGAGGGAATAGAGAGTGGCAAATTTAACATAGGAGAGCCAGTGATAGAAAGAGAGATTACCAAATTGGCTATAAATGCACAAGGAGAGATAGAGCAGAAGAAATGCCACTTGCAACCAAGGAAAATTCCCTTCCAAGACATTAGAAAAGAAGCATCGATTAAAAACAAAGACCTTCTCCGAATAAAAAACGATGCATTTTATGAAGAGCTCAGTGAAAGTGAGATTCGTGCAGAGCTAGAAAAGATCCGTGAGGATATAAGGGGAACACATGATGAAATCAAACAAAGGCTGAAAAGCTTTCAGTGGAAGAGGCATTGGCTGATTTGGCATGACCATTCAACCCTTTCAAATTATGGTCACATGCTCTTTTGTGTGAGAGAGATGTATGACCCAGCAATTCATCTCTCTGACGCAGAAGCTAGAGTTCAATATGGAAAAGATGTGGATGTCCAGGCAACAGTGGAGAGGCCCTATCTGTATATGCTGGGACAGAGCAGTTCCAGCATTGAAGATCAGATAAAATTTGTTCCAGCCAGACATGATGATTTAGTAAATTTAACCCAAAAAGTGAAAACAGAGGAGGATGTTGAAGTAGAAGATGAGATGAGGTTTATGAATGGAGACAACCCTGCAGCAAACTTTGAATGCAGAAATCAGCATGGAGGGCATTATGGTTGCCCAGGTTGTGATGGGCATTTAAGCATGTGCCACGATCTAGATTACATAGCCCAAAGAAAGTACAGAACATTGACTGAATGGCAACAGCTGGTGTTAGCAGGAAGGAAAGGAAAAGAGGCAAAACAACTCTTGAACCCATTTAAAGATCTCAAGGTCAATGAGCTACTAGCTGAAATTGAAGCAAGAGGACTTGGAGATTCAGACAAAACCAAACCAGAACTTGCAGAAATTTTAAATGAAGAACTTGGAGGGGCAACAAGAATTCCAGCACTGTTGTTTGGGGATGAGAGTGCTTCTGTGGAAAGTCTCAACCTCCAGTCCTATGAGGCACTGTGTTTTGAAGCTCTTCACAGCTCCATGAATCACATTAAAAACATTCTGGAAGAAATCCCACATCACATTTCTGACATTGATACACTGATAAAACTTAAAGAAATACTAGCTGTTCAACTTAACAAAGAGAAAAAACGAGGAGTAGATTATCGCAAGACACTAATCTACTTAACTGTAGCCCTTTACCAGACAACAACCCATGATGTGAGAGCTTTGCTGGCCACCCTGTGCGAAATGGTGGAAATTTTTTATGCCCAGGACAGAAAGAGGTCACCAAAGTTGATATTAAGGTTGCATAACCTGTGTTGGAGGCATGCAATTTTGTGCCGAAAAGTGATGACCCCAACTAGAGCCCTAACAAGCAGAAAGCTTCTTTGATGGTCCTGAGGAAATTGAATTCAGGGAGCAAGGACCTTCCCTTCACCACGTTTGCACCTCCAATATCAGAATGGAGAAAATTTTCCTTCAACACTGCTGGGAAGAATGCATTCAAAGCGGAATCAAAATCCCAGCTACCAGAATTCCCAATGAAGAAAACCATGATGAAGAAGAATGCATGCAACAGAATCTGCCAGTTCAAGATCAGTCATTTGAGAGTGATGGTGAATGTGAAGAAGAAGCTAAAGATACAACTCTATTAATTGATGAAGAAGAGAGTAGTGAAAACCTAGAAAATAATCAGATTCCAGAACCACAGCAGCTGAGTGAAACAGTGCAAAATGAGACAGGTGAACCACTGGCTAAGAAACCAAAATTATCTGAAGATTTTTTACCATCCAGCAAAACAGCAAAAGCTCTTTCAGAGATTCTTGGCACAACCAAAGATGTTATGTTATATGAAAAACTTAAAAAAATGCAACAAAAAATTCAAGCTCAAGATACCACAAAGAACACTTCTTAAATCACCTGGCACACATTCAAGTACAAGTTGTAAAGAAATACGAGGAAATAAATGAAGCAATTATTGAGTGGTCAGCCAACTTCAAGAAAGTCTTCAAAAAAAATCCCACAGAAAATCACATGAAAAAAGATCCAGTTATAGCAAAAACATGGAGGAAAAATAAAGTTGCCACTGAGCTACTGAAAATATGGAAGATCACCATTCACCTTCCTAAATAAATACTTCAAATTATTCAATGTTTTAACTTATAATACTTGCTGATATTTTGTGATTTGCACAATATTTTTCCAAGCCCTGAAAATAATTAATATTTACAGTCCTCAACATTAAGTCAAAAGAAAAGCTATCTTCAGTGGGTTTCACATGTACTGTAAGCATGAAAAAGCACCAAAAAGATCATTTAATACATACCGTTTTGAGGAACTTTAGTATGACAATCCAACTGATAGATATGAGTATCCTACATGTA